ACACCAACCATCATTTGCTGTATCAGATAAGCATTAAATGGCACCCAGGCTCAATAGCAAAGCACAAGCAAATGCTGAGGTGAAGGGGTGAGCACACACCCTGAGACCTTCTCCCCCCACAGGGAATGATGCCTTGTGCCTTCCTTGGTGGTTCAGTCATTCTCCTCCTCTCTACATGAGGCTTTGGCTGGCCCTTTAGTGCTAGCCTACTAGATGACTTTACGAAGCACTAAACCCTGCCTCAAATGGTGACCACTAACTTAGGCCTGGAGGCACAAGAGATGGCAGGGCAAGCAGACACTTCATTTAATGTGCTCTCCACATCCACCCCCACTGTGGTGTGCTCCTGGTGCACAAAGGAGTCCTAAAGTTTGTCAAAGCCTTCTAGCAAACCCCATCCTCAATCCTGCCCACTTCTAAGAATCTCAGAAGTAATATTTTGTTCCTTCTCAGGGGTATGAATAATTATACACTCCCCTGCCCCTAAGGTTGTTGGTAGTTTTGGCAGCCAACAAGAGAGACAAGCAAGGACAAAAATATTCCCCAAAAATAAGGAAGCCAAGAGACTGGACCTTTTCAGGAGGAAAATTTATTTCAGCTAGCCTTCAATTCAGAGTCATGAACCATGAGGATCTTTTGGAGAGAGAACTTTTACCTGTGGGACTCCCATCATAAGTTTAAGGACTCCATGTCCCCAGAGGTGGCCCAAGAATTCAAGGCCCTTTGTTGAAGAGGGTACAGCAGCAGTTTGGTGTTCCCTCCAAATGGCCAGAGTGATTCTTTTGGCAGTGGTGATGAGGCACAGTTCTTGGCTTCAGACTAAAGGCCTGCCCCCAGAAGAAGCAGTCCTTGATGCAATATCTCCAATTGAATAGAGTTAGATTCTTTGCAGAGCAAAATGGAAATGAGAATGCACAGACTGAAGGACGCTCAGGCCACACTCTGCTCACTGGGATTGCAGGTGTCTCAGTCGGCGAAGAAGCAATTCTGGCTGCTTTGGCAGCCTCAACCGGGGTCTACAAGAAGGGGCACTAGTTTTAGTTGCTGCCGCCCTTTCTCTCACTGTTCACTTGGACAATGGCCTGGTAAAACACCACAGGGGCCAGAAGCATGCATTTTGAGGGTGCACTTGCTCAAGAGCAACACTTTAGCTATCTCCACAGATATTTTCCTCAACTGTTTCCATATCTCTTTTTTGGCCTGATCGCAGGTTACCTTGGACCACTGGGTGCTAGAGATTGTGTTGTTGGGCTATATAATCCACTTCTTGGCCATCCTCACCCCTCCGTGCCCCCACCTCCACACACACATTCTGTTACCTGTCCTTCTTGAGAAACCCATCTCAGAGCAATTCCTCATTCTGGAGGTGGACAGATTCCTACAGCTGGGGACGGTGGAGGAGGTCCCCCAGGAAATAAAGAGGAAAGCTTTCTATTCTTATTTCCTGATCCTGAAAGCAAAAGGGGCTTAAGAACCATTATGGACTTCTTAAGAACCTGAATGGACTCAACAAGTACTTCCAGAAGTTCCACATAGTTTCACTGGCCTCCATCATTCGCTCCCTGGATCCAGGTGACTGGTATGCCACTAAAGACGCTTATTTTATATCTTCATTTTCTGGTGGGTTGGTGTTGCTTCCAGTTCATGGAGTTTCCCATTAGCCCCTCCTTGACCCCATGGGTGTTTACAAAATGCATGGCACTGGTAGCCACATACCTCAGACATCATCAGGGAGTCCATGTTTATACTTATCTCAGTGATAATTTTATCAATAGCAGGTCACAGGATCAAGTGCAAAATAGTCTCTCTCTTGCTTCCTTATTTGTGACTCATTAGAACAGAAAATGCCACCTGTTCTCATTTTTGGGGTTCATCAGGAGTTCCTTGTCAGACACCGTCTTACTCCCATGATCAAGGGCTCTGATGTACACTTTCCCACAGTTTCATCACAATACTCATGAAGATCAAGCAGGACAGGGACAAAATTATCCTGATACCTCCAGCTTGGCCTCACCAGCCCTGGTTCAGTAAGCTGATGGACCTTCAGCTCTGGCTGGATCTTGTATTCCAGAATTGTGGCAGGCTCCTGCACTTGAATGTAGCAGTGTTGTTCCTTACATTGTAGTTGCTGCATGGTTAACTGCTGAAGAATAGGAATGTTCACCCATGTCCAGGAGTGCCTACTGGGTAGTAGAAAGTCCTCCATTACCTACCTGGTCAACCTACCTGGTCAAAAGGAAGTGATTCACATGCTGGGTTTTAGTCCAAGTGGTTATGCCTGAGCAGGCCTCACTGCAGTTGAGCCTAGGCTATCTTATGCATCTTAAGTTCCAGGATTTGTCCACTTGGTTGCCATATCAGTCTTTCACCTTATTTTCCAGAATAGGTTGGTCTTTGGTCATAACATGACCCTTGAGTTCTTGAAACGTGTGGAGCAAGTCAACCCTCAGGTCTGAGACTTACATCCCACTATGGAACCTGAATCTGGTGTTTGTGTGGCTCATGAGAATTCCCTTTGAACTACTGGCATTTTATTCAATTTTTCTGCTCTCTTTGAAGATGCCATTCTTGGTGGCAATAACTTCAAAGGGTGCCCAAGATTAGGGCACTTACCTTAGAACTGTAGAACTGCCCTATACAGTGCTTTCCAACTACAAGGTCCAGCTGTGGCAGCATACAACTTTCCTGGCAAAGGTGGTTTTGCACTTTCACACAAGTCAGGACATAATTTTGTAAGTTTTCTTCCCAAAGCCTCATAAGTCTGAGAAGGAACATAGGTTGTGCTCCCTGGACATCAGAAAAACTCTAACTTTCTACGTTGAGAGAACCAGCTCATTTTGCCAGTAGACACAGTTCATTGAGTCTCCTCTTAGATCACCGCTTTCTTCCATTTTGCAATGATCAGACAAATGTGCCTCCACCAGCAACAGCCCACTCAACTAGAATGCAAGACTCATTCTGATCCATGTGCCAATTCCAGATATCTGCAGAGTGCTGCCATTTGGTTGTCCATTTGCAGATTTACATATCATTATGCACTGAGAGCCTGAGATGATGCTGGCTTTGGTAGAACTGTATTATAAGCTGCATGTCTGTGAACTCTGAGTTCACCTCCAGGAATACTGCTTGTGAACCACCTAGAATGGAATTGACATGAGTAAACACTAGAAGAAAATATGGTTACCTACATTTTCATAACTGTTGTTTTTAGAGATGTGTTGTTCATTACCTGCTCTCCTCCCCCTCTGTTGGAGTTGCCAACAAAAAGGAACTAAGAGGGTGTAGAGCTGGCGGCACCTGATGTACCGACACATGAGTGTGGCACTTCAGAGGGTGCCAGAGCTGTCGGTACTGCTAAAGCAAAAGTCTCCAACAACTGTGCACATGGGCATGTGCACACCTAGGGTACGTCTAGACTACAGGCTTCTGTCGACAGAAGTTTTGTCGACAGATACTGTCGACAAAACTTCTGTCGACAAAGAGCGTCTAGACTACATTGAGTTCTGTCGACATAACGTCGACAGAACTCAGCAGCTTTGTCGACGCTGGTAACCCTCATTTTACGAGGCATAACCCCTTCTGTCGACAGAAGTTTTGTCGACAGATACTGTCGACAAAACTTCTGTCGACAAAGAGCGTCTAGACTACATTGAGTTCTGTCGACATAACGTCGACAGAACTCAGCGGTAGTGTAGACGCAGGTATAGTTTTGTCGACAAAAGTGGACTTTTGTCGACAAAACTCTGTAGTCTAGACACACCCCTAGATTGGAATGGACATGAGCAACTCATCTTGAACAAAAGTTACAGAAAGGTAGGTCACCATTTTTTCCTGAGGGATGATCCCAAGCCCAAACTCAAAACAGAGATCTAGTCTGCCTCCAGGGAGTTCCCCACTTTGAGGCTCTGACATGGAGGGTCCTTAAATGAACATTCATAGGTAAGACAGAATTTTCCCATTCTCGAGCTTCATGTATCTTTACATGAATTAATTTCTCTGCTCATGGTTCTCTAGAAGTGTTTGCTTTCTGCACCTTGTAACACTCCTCAAACTCTGCCCTTCTAATTTCTGTTGGTTCTTCTTCAAAGAGATGAATGTCTTGCCTTCAAAGAATGATTCTATTAATGGGGGGGAGGAGTTCTCTATTGTGTTGTTTTGTCTATCTGATAAAATTTTTCACGAGCACTAATATTCCATTTTTTTTAAATGCTGTATCGTTGAAAAGTTAAATTGTGACCATCTGATGCATATAATCGATGTTCAAATATAACAGGATTTTTATTTTAAAGACCACATATATAACTTGTGACTTTTGAAACAGAAAAGAAAATTATTTTAAATAGGAAGGAAAATTTGTGCCCTATGATTCTCTTGCAGCAAAACTTGCTTACTTAACAACTTAATCAGATGAAGCTGAGTTTTCTTTGTTTTTAAAAGAAACTTGTATAATCATTCAAGAGCTCAAAAACTGACAGGAAAGGAAATGGAAATGATGCCTTCAGTTTTTACCTTTTCTCATGCAAATGTTGCTACATTCAATGTTCAGCTGGCTATGCTTTTTCAGGTGACTCAGTATAATCTTTATAAAGATATTACAATCGCTATCAAACTGTATTCTTGAGAGTTCTCTTACACTATTATAGGTGGTGTATTTTTCTTTGTTTAGTTCAGTCTATTTGTTCATCGCCTTAAGCATATGACATAAAACTGATGAAAAAGCAAATTTGAGGTAAAGCATGGACATACTTTTCTGGCTGTATCTAATTTCTGTAGCAGAGACTCATGTAAAATACAAGCAACTGCATAAGATAAAATATTTTTATCTTGTTTTTGGTTAGCTTTTAACCATTTTAAAATGTGGTTTTTATTTTTAATCATGAACTATCCACTGACTGCATTTTTATTAGTGATTCTACATATATATACTACCCTGTTGATCTCTTCTAATATGATGGCTTAACATCAATATGGTTATGTTTGGTTGTTTTTTCTTCTGACAGGTAAAGAAGGCTTTCTTTGCCTTGGTAGCAAATGGTGTTCGAGCAGCTCCACTGTGGGAAAGTAAAAAACAGAGTTTTGTAGGTAAGGAGTTCTGGTGTTTTTCAGCAGGGAATTAATGTGAGGTTGTGGTGGAGAAAGGGGCCAGTGTTAGCTGTATTGTGTTGTACATTCTAGAGATGCATCTGGTGGAGAGGGTTTTTGTTTTTTTTTGTTTTATACTCCTCCAGCAAAGGCTGAAATTAGAGATGTAGTCGACTGTCCAGTAAGCAAATACTTGTTGAGTAGGAACTCAACTAGTCGCTCTACCCTCCCCCTTGCTGCCTCTGTCAGAAAAAATAGTAATAGGTAGCTGTGTTAGTCTGATCTTGCTAAAACAAGTGTCAGTTTAATAATGTGTTCACTTTTTTCATTGTATTCCTTTGGTATATATGGTCATGCCAATTCTCTTCCAGAATATGATCTGAGGAAGTGGGTCTGGCCCACGAAAGCTAGCCAGACCCTGGTTAATCAGTTAAACAATTAAAATTATATTGTTTAACCAGTTAACATTTTAAAGAAGTATTTATATTCCTTAAGAACAATGAGAAGTCTTGTGGCACCTTATAGACTAAGGGTATGTCTACACTGCAAAGTTAATTCGAAATAACAGCCGTTATTTCGAATTAACTTTAATAGCGTCTATACATGCAAACCACTATTTCAAAATTAATTCGGAATAGCTGAGCGCTTAATTCAAATTTGGTAAACCTCATTCTACAAGGAGTAACGCCAAATTCAAAATAGCTGTTTCAAATTAAGTGCTATGTAGACACTTAATTCGAAATTGGGGGGCCTCCAGCCCTTCCCAGGGAGCCCTAGTGGCCACTCTAGGCACAACCAGGAAAACTTACTCTCCTCTCCCCCAGCCCTGGAGCCATTAAAGGGGTAGACTCTGGCCACAATGCCTGTGCCAGCTCCAAGCCTGCCAGCCCAGAGCCAGCACTTGCCACCAGGGTCCCTGACCCAGTGGCCCCAAAACATGAACCAGCAAGCCACTGGCAGCCAGCCCTCCACCGCTCCCCAGGAGCAGTCTGCCAGCTCCCAGGAGCCTGACTGAGCCCGGAGAAGGTGGGCGCCTTCCTGGTCCAGGGTGGAGATCATGGACCTTATTCAGGTTTGGGGGGGGATGCCCCCAATGTCTATGATCTCCACACTAGATGGAGGAATGCGGCCGTCTATTGCAGGATAGCTGCCAGCCTGGCCACCAAAGGCCACATGCGAACCCAGGAGCAGGTTTACATGAAAATCAAGTTGGTCCGGCGAGACCCCCAACCCTGAGCTTCCCCTCCCCTTCTTTCCCTTCCTTCCCCTTTCCAGCTCCCTCCTCTCAGGTTTCCCCCTCCCCTCTCCCACCCTCTCTCTTCCCCCTCCCACCTCCTTTTCCCAGTCTCTCCAGAGGTTCATTTATTTGACATCAGGAAGGAGGGCTAGGGAAGGACGTGAGGGAGGAATGGGGCACGAGCCCCCGGTAGGGAGGACAGGGGTGTCTCTGAGGGCTCCTCAAGGTGGACACTCTCCCACAGGGCCTCCTGGATCCTGACAGCCTGATGGACCCTCCGCATGGCAGCCTGCAGCAAGTGCAGCCAGGCTGATGGCAACAACCCCACGAGGTGCACAGCGTGCGTGCCCAGGGGCAGCTCTGGCTCCATGTGGCTGAGTGCTGTGGTGTCCCGAGTGTGGGTGCTCAGGGCACTCCAAGACAGCACTACTTTGCTGTCCCTCATCAAGGTAGATAAGCAAGCGGGGGACCCTGAGAACTGTCTGTCCGGGGTGGGAGTAGGGTCCCTTTAAGCACGGAGCTCAGGTAGTCTCAGGCAGCAGCCCCACACACTTAGTCCTAACCTGATGCCCTGCCGGCACTCGTTCCAGCCAGCCTTAACTTTGGTTCAGGGTCCACTCAGTGTGGACGCGCTATTTCGAAATAGCAAAACACTATTTCAAAATAGTTTTTGTGTGTAGATGCGTTAATTTGAATTAGCTTAATAGACATATCCTAACAGATTTATTGGAACATAAGCTTTTGGTGGCAAAGACCCACTTCGTCAGATGCATGTAGTGGAAATTCCAGAGGCAGGTATAAATAGACTAACATGGCTATCCCTCTGATACTTGTCACTTATATTCTTTAGTTTCTTCTGCAAGTGATGTCCCTGTGGCTGCTCCACAGTTGGTGTCAGGCTCGTCCCAGCACCACAGATCAGAGACTTTGAGAGCAGTGATTAGTCAGGCTGTGCATGCACGAGTGGAGAGCTGTGCTCCCACCTTTGAAATAATGCGCAGCCCACTTCTACTTCTTCATCACCCTCGGCCACAGACAGCTCATTCTCTCCTCCTCGGTATGCCCTGCAAGACAACGCAGAACCACTTTATCAGCACAGATAGTCTTAAGGCACTTAGGACTCCCTTCTCTTTACACAGGGAAAAAAAAAGTCGCCACCACCAGCTTTTACCACCGCTAATAGCAAGCCGCGGCAAGCAAAGGAAAAGAAACAGGAACCAGCGACCCACAAGCAGTCAGCGCTGCTTGTACAAATACAGCTAGCTTCTGAGAGGCATGCCAGGCTCTCCTAAGGAGAAAAGATGTGGCAAATGCTGAGAATTTATGCCAGCTTCGGATGCCCACAGGGAATGTATGTGCTGTTTGGGGGACACACATGTACCTCAGTAATGTGTTCATTGCCATAGCCTCACAGCAAGAGCTCATAAAGAAAGGGAGCTCACAGTGTGCACACAGCCTATGGATAGATCCCTAGCCCCCATAATTATCAAGGGGGCAATAAGGGCTCAAGCGCAGTTTCTCCTAAAGGAAAACTTCCAAGCCCTTCACCTCAGAGAACATGCTCAGAAACTAGACCCTCACCAGCTCACACTCTCCCCTCAAGAATTAGCAAAGAAGATGAACCAGGCACTTCAGGCATGGCAAAGTCTTGAGCTTCCTCAATAACAGGCTCAAATATGCGCTCGAAACAGCCCTCAAGATCACCTACCACAAAAAGGGCACCTAGCAAGGGTCCTGTGGTGACAGAGGCACCACTGGCATTAATGGCACTTGGCTCGCCATGGGCACAGTCAAGATCCTCAGCACATTGCCAACCTACAGCACAACATTCTTCTGTGGCACAGAAGACTGACAGGGCTAGCTCCAGCCGCCTCCAGTATCCCACACTAACTCTAGATCACCTGGGGTCACAGCTACACCCATGCCACCACCATAAGTATCTAGCTAAGGGATTGTCTTATCTGAGGTCCCTCACAACGGACCATCAAAGACATGATCATATTCATGAAGACCAAGCTTCAGTCACCGGGCTTCATTATCAATGAGCAGAAATCCATACTACGCCCCACACAATCTTTGGAGTTCTTAGGGGCTTGTATAGACTCCACAACAGCTCAGGCCTATCTCCCCAAACACTGTTTCAACAATATAAGAAACCTCGTTATGATCATTACCACTAGCCCAACATAGTGTGCCTCAAACTTATGGGGCACATGGTGGCTATGACATATGTGGTCCCGCATGCTAGGCTGCACTTCTGCTATTTCTAACTCTGGATCTCTTCAGTGTACACACCAGCCAGCCGTCAGATGCACAGGCATGTTTCACCTCCCTACAGTGGTGGACACAGGCACACAACCTCTGCAACAGGATGCCTTTCCACTGGGAACAGCCGTCCAAACAAATTATGACAGACGCCTCACTGATGGGATGGGATGGGATGCACACTTCCAGCAATAGTTTGCACAAAGGAAATGGTCCAAAGACGAGTCAAGACTGCATACAAAGCTTGAGCTTTGAGCAGTCCACAACGCATGGAAACACTTCCTTCCTTACATCCCAGACTCTTCTGTGCATTTCCTCACCGACAATGACAACTATGTGCAAGATCCCAGTTGCTATGCGCAGAGGTGATCAGGCTTTGGAACAACAACTTTATGGCAGATATCTTCAGCCGCAACTTCCTCACAGAACATGAGTGGGAACTACACAACCAGATCATCCACAAGTTGTTCCACGATGGGGGCGACCACAGATAGATCTCTTTGTCAGCAGGCAGAACTCCAAATGCTCCCAGTACTGCTTGCGAGTGGGCATAGGACATGGCTCCCTGGGTGATGCCATGCTTCTCACTTGAGGGGCCCACCTATTGTATGCCTTCCCACCCATTCCCAACGTCCTCCAGAAGATACAGACGGATGGGGCCCAGTGATCTTGATAGCCCCAGCCTGGCCCCAACAGACATGGTTTACAAGTCTTTATCACCTGTCTCTATGACCTTCCGAACTGCCCAGATCTGCTCTCCCAGAACCAGGGGTCAGTACTTCACCCCCAACTACAAATGCTGAATCTGATGGCATGGTACCTATCTGGTTCTCAGAAGCAAAGCAACAGAGCTCCCAACCAGTGAAAAATTTTCTACTGCGTAGCAGGAGACAAACAACACGCAAGACTCACCTATACAAGTGGCACCAGTTTACACAGTGGTGCACACACAGGGCAATCAAACCATCTAGGGTGCCGCTCCACCAAGTACTGGAATACGTCATGCACCTAAAACAATAAAATGTGTCAATTTCCTCACTCCGGGTGCACATGGCCGCCATTATGGCCTTCCACCCTCCCATTGATGGATTCTCCATATTTTCACTCCATATTTTCACACCCTATCTCTAAAAGATTCTGGAAGGGTCTACAGAACTTTCACCCACCTTAAAAACCCATTCCCCCCACGTGGGGCTTAGAATTGGTCCTTTACTGTCTTATTTTAATATCCTAGTAAGCTGTTGAGACTATGTGTATATGGCAAACTGTGTTCTTTATGGATTGAAAAGTAGAAAGCATAAACACCGAGGGACTGTGAATACTATAGTTTAGGATCTTCCTGAGAGTTTCTGTGTAACCTGGCATGCAGACTGAGAGATTCTTGGACATAAGTGATAGATGCTTTCTTATTTCATACTCCTGGGAAACACTATAATTTCATGAAGGATTGCCTTGGTCAATGATGAATTTTGATTTCTGCTCGTCTCAAATTTCTGGTCAATTAAAGTTAACCTCTGAAAACTACTTTTTCCTGAACACTTGTTTTATATGTCATTCAGAAGTTCTGCCACAGGAGTACAGGTTGTTCCTCTCTTAACCAGGACTCTCTGGTCTGGCAGACCATGGATGTTCCTGGACCACAGAGCCCAGGTATAGGGAGTGGCGGGCGGGGGGTGGTCACAGAGACTCAGCTGGGAGCCAGGGGACAAAGCATGGAGGGGCAGGAGGTGCAGCAGGGAGCTCTGGCCCCTGCTGCCGGCCCGTATGGGGGGGGTGCCAGCGGCAGACCTCGGGATCCGGCCAGGGAGCTGTGGGATGGCAGTAGCAGCTGCAGAGCTCTGGCAGCAGCAGAGCTCCAGCTCCAGCCCCGGCCGCGGAGCTCTATCCCAGGCCACAGAGCTCCGGCCCTGGCAGCACACTGGGGCAGCAGCAGCAGCAGCAGCAGCAGCAGCAGCCGCCGGGCAGGCTGCAGTTGGAGCCCTAGCCAAGGGCAGCAGGACAGCATGGGCCATATTGGCCTTGGTCTGGCAAATCCCCTCATTTGGGACTGGTCAGGTCCAAGGGGTGCCGGATGAGGGGAGGTCCAACCTATAGTATTGAGTTAGGTGGTATGATATTTGCTCCATTTTTATTTTACTTATTGATAGTTTGGTATTACAGCTGAACATTGCATTTTTCTATATGCCTAAGGACTGTCACTTAATCTTTTGTGTCATAACTGCATATATTTCCAGAATAAATGTTGTAGTTCAAACAGAAGTTGTGATCTTGCTGCAGCCATTATCAGTGACATTCTTTGGCCTGTGTTATACAGGAGATCAGACTGGATAACCATATCAATGAAACTGCTTGATAGCTTGTATTTTCCTAAAGTGTGAATGTTTGACTCCTAAAAGAGAATGTTTGACTCCTAAAAGGGGTGGGCCTGAGTCCCAAACTCAGTAACGAGATTTTGAAAGCTTTTATCCCCTGCGCTCCCCCCAAGTTGCGGGAGAGGCAATCCTAGTTCAGGGTTTTGTTTGGCTAAAACTGTTAGAGAAAAGGGCCAGCTGCAAAATACAGATCCAGAGCTTTTGTTCCAATTCCTACCAATACAGAGTATTCTTTCTGTCTGTCTGTGCTAACCCTGGAGAATTTTAGCATGCACATTTTTTTTAAATGATTGGTATTTATAAAGCTCCTAAAATGTTGTGTTCATTTAGTTCACAACAATGAAGTATACCAGTTTAGAAGTAAATATTTTTAAAAGCATAAAAACAAGATAATTTTGTGATGCTTATTTAAAGTGCTGTTTTTTCCTACTTTTTACAGGAATGTTAACAATTACAGATTTCATTAATATACTTCATAGATACTATAAGTCTCCAATGGTAAGTACCATATTAGGCTTTAATTGTATCATTAACAACCATAACATGCATAAATGCAAATCAAAAGCATTGAAAATTGATTAATATTTGTACAGCCTTTAGAAACTTAAATTGCTATCAAAATGCTTTATTGCACTTTTGAGAAGAAAGGATAGCTTTGTGGTCAAAGCACTGGACTTGGGACTCTGGAGGTCTGGGATTAAATTTCCAGGTGTGCCACAAACTTGCTGTGATCTTAGGCAAATTGCTTAGCCTCTCTTTGCCTCATTTTCTCATCTGTAAATGTGGGTAAAATTTCTTTCCCTTTTTTCTTTTCTAGTTATACTATAAATTCTTCAAGGCATAGACTGTCTTGTATTATGTATGTGTTTGGTGCCTGCCTCAGAGGGGCCGTAATTGTGGCTGAATCTAGATGTAGACTCTTGATTGGTTTTGGACAGCAGGCACTATTACATTACTATTAAGACTTGCTGTTTTGGAGTAAAAGGTCTAGCTAAACACCAGTGTAAAATAATGGTTCTATGTAAAAGTGATTTTAGTGTGGAAAAATACTTAGAAAAAATATTTGCTCCTAGTTTTCTAGGGTTTTATGTTACATTTGATTCCAAATATGTGATTTGCACATGTTGAATCACATATTATATTATTCAGGTAGAGAAAAAGGGAATTTGGGTGCTTGGGGAGAGCAGTGAGCTATGTAGATCACACACTTCTATTTTGCATCAAGGCATTAAAACACCATTGCCAAGGGATTTGTGTACAAAGTTCAAGGCTGTTGCATTGCCACAAGCTTTACCACCAATCTACTGCAATTATCAGCAAAAGTCAAACCATATTCTAAATTCTGAGCCAGGTTTTAATCCTTTAGAAATATTCTCTCCAAAATGTGGTCATAATAACAGTTGTAATCTCATTTCATCAGCCTTTAACAAGATTTCTGATGGCTTAGCTAGACTGAATCAATTGAAATATCTCACCTCTTTTGCAGTTTGTCAATACCCTGAAAATCAGTTTGTTTTACTCACATATGTATCTTGTTTTTATATTGCTTTTAAAAATTGTTCCTTTAGGTAATCTAGTGACTGTGTCTTCTGGCACATTTCAAGGAATGGCCCTTGCAGGAATGATCATGTTTATGAGGCTGGCCTCCTTTAATTTAGTGATTTAATTTAGTAAGAATTATTCTAATTTACCCCATGCCTCTAAATACTGAAGCCTCAGAAATACCTGAAGATGACTCGCAAAAGAGTTGATGGTGCCTTAGCCCAGAGTAGAGCCAGGACAGTAACTGTTATTGAGATGCAAATTAACATGTCTAGACAAGGTTGTTTAAAGACTAAACAAGACTTAGCAATAGTGAGTCCTGAGACAAAGCTGCTAAAAGTATATTCAGAAAATTGTCAGTGAATTGCAGAAGGCCACAAACAACTTTGATGAGGTCATAAAGAATCATAGAATCTTAGGGCTGGAAGAGACATCAAGTCCAGCCCCCTGTCCAAGGCAGGACCAATCCCAACTAAATCAACCCAGCCAGGGCTTTGTCAAGCCAAGACTTAAACGCTTCTAGGGATGGAGCTTCCACCACCTCCCTAGATAACCCATTCCAGTGCTTCGCCACCCTCCTACTGAAGTAGTTTTTCCTAATATCCAACCTAGACCGCCCCCACTGTAACTTGAGACCATTGCTCCTTGTTCTGCCATCTGTCACTACTGTGAACAGCCTTTCTCCATCCTCTTTGGAACCTCCCTTCAGGAAGTTGAAGGCTGCTATCAAATCCCCTCTCACTCTTCTTTTCTGAAGACTAAACAAACCTAAATCCTTCAGTCTCGCCTCATAGGTTATGCGCTCCAGCACCCAAATCATTTTAGACACCCTCTGCTGGACCCTCTCCAATGCATCCACATCCTTTCTATAATGGGGGGCCCAGAACTGGACACAGTATTCCAGATGTGGCCTCACTAGAGCCGAATAAAGGAGAATAATCACTTATCTGGATCTGCTGGCAATACTGCTCCTAATGCACCCTAATATGCCATTAGCCTTATTGACTACAAGGGCACACTGTTGACTCATATCCAGTTTCTCATCCACTGTAGTCCCCAGGTCCTTTTCTGCTGAACTGCTACATAGCCATTCAGTCCCCAGCCTGTAACAATGCTTGGGATTCTTCCGTCCCAAGTGCAGGACTCTACACTTGTCTTTGTTCAGCCTCATCAGATTTCTTTTGGCCCAATGCTCTACTCTGTCTATCCCTGCCCTCCAGCATATCTACCTCTCCCCCTAGCTTAGTGTCATCTGCAAACTTGCTGACAGTGCAATCCATCCCCTCATCCAGGTCTCATAGACTTTAAGGTCAGAAGGGACCATTATGATCATCTAGTCTGACCCCCTGTACAGTGCAGGCCACAGAATCTCACCCACCCCTCCCAGAATAAATAAATTAATTTATTCATTAATAAAGATATTGAACAAAACAAGTCCAGGAACCGGTCCTTGGGGCACGCCGCTAGAAACTGACTGCCAACCTGACATCGAGCCGTTGATCACTACTGATTGGGCCTGACAGTCTATCCAGCTTTCTATCCACATTACAGTCCATTTATCCAATCGATACTCCCTTAACATGCTGGCAAGAATATTGTGGGAGACCATATCAAACGCTTTGTTAAAGTCAAGGTATATCACATCCTCTGACTTTCCCATATCCACAGAGCCAATTACCTCATTGTAGAAGATAATCAGATTGGTCAGGTATTACTTGCCCTTCGTGAATCCATGTTGACTATTCCTGATCACTTTCCCCTCTTCCCAGTGCTTCAAAATGGATTCCTTGAGGATCCCCTGCATGTTTTTTCCAGGGACTGAGGTAAGGATGACTGGTCTGTAGTTCTCTGAATTTTTCTTCTTTTCTTTTTTAAAGATGGGTACTACATTTGCCTTTTTCCAATCGTCCGGGATCTCTCCCGATCTCCACGAGTTTTCAAAGATAATGGCCAATGGCTCCGCAGTGACATTTGCCAACTCCCTCAGTACCCTTGGATGCATTTAATTTGGACCCATGGATTTGTGTATGTTTAGCTTTTCTAAATAGTTCCTAACTTGTCCTTTCCCCACCGAGGGCTGTCCACCTCCTTCCCATACTGCATTGCCTAGTGCATTTGTCTGCGAGCTGACCTTGTCTGTGAAGACAGAGGCAAAGAAAGCATTGAGTACTTCAGCTTTTCCCACATCATCTGTCACTAGGTTACCTCCCTCATCCAGTAAGGGCCCCACGCCCTCTCTGATCACCCTCTTATTGCTAGCATGCCTATAGAAATCTTTCTTGTTACCCTTCACATCCCTTGCCAGCTGCAATTCCAGTTGCGCTTTCACCTTCCTCATATGTCTCCTACATTCTTGAGCAATATATATATTGTCCTCCCTAGTCATCTGTCCAAGTTTCCACTTCTTGTAAGCTTCCTTTTTTGGTTTAAGCTCACCATGGATGTCCCCGGTAAGCCAGTCTGGTCGCTTACCATATTTGCTTTTCTTATTGCGCACCAGGATGGTTTCTTCCTGTGCCTTTAATATGGCTTCTTTAAAATACTTCCAGGTCTCCTGGACTCCTTTCCCCTTCATGTAAGTATCCCAAGGAATCCTGCCCATCAGTTCTCTGAGGGAGTCAAAGTCTGCTTTTCTGAAGTCGAGGGTGTGTATTTTGCTACTTTCTCCTTTCTTACTTTCTACCATCTCATGATCACAGCTTCCCAGCTTGTCACCTACCTCTACTTCCCTTACTAGTTCCTCCCTGTTTGTGAGCAGCAGGTCAAGCTGCACATGGCCCCTGGTTGGTTCTTTCAGCACTTGTACCAAGAAGTTATCCCCAACATTCTCCAAAAACTTCCTGAATTGTCTGTGTACTGCTGTATTGGCCTCCCAACAGATGTCAGGGTGATTGACGTTGCCCATGAGCAGGGCTCGACAATCTATGTAATCTATTCACCCGTGGCGAGGAGATAGATTACATCCGAGAAGAGCCGGGTTTGGGCGATCTGCGCATGCGCAGAACAATCTGCACATGTGCAGAATGCTGGACAGCATGGCTGGCGAGCTCTGCCCATGAGAACCAGGACCTGAAATCTGGAAGCTTCTCTCAGTTGTCCAAAGAAAGCTTCGTCTACCTCATCCACCTGATCTGGTGGAGACAACACTACAGAAGGCTGCCATTTGAGCAGCAGGAAATTGGGCAGCGTGACTGAGTGGTCATGGAGGGCAGGAATGTGATGTTGAATAGGTTTCAATAATGTGAACAAAACACCAGCAGTGGTTGAAAAATCTTATTATCTTCATGCTTTCTCTTGTACAAGGAGAAATGAAGTCTTAGGCTATGTCTACACTGCAGCGCTATTTCAGGATACCAGAGTATCCCGAAATAACTATCCTGCATCTTCACAGCAAGCCCATTATTTCAGGCTTGCTATTCCAACATCCCTGTAAACCTCATTCTACGAGGCATAAGGAACGTTTCGGAATAGCACTTTATTTCGAAATTTGGTATTGTGTAGGCAGTGCCAAATGATAAAAAAACCTATTTTGAAGTAGCATCAAAATAAGATATGCAATTCGTGTAGCTAAAATTGCGTATCTTATTTTGAGTTATGGTGTAGTGTAGACGCACTTAGAGAATAAAAGTTCATTCATGCCCCCATTTATTTCTTTAGTGGTGTTACAAGGCTACCTACTCAGCCCTTTGGACCACCACACACACAGGGTGGACATTTTCCACATTTCTAAGCACCAGTATGTTATTTATTAGGTTCCCTCCACCAGTTCCTTGGAGGGAGAAGGAAAGATTCAGCATCCCCAGTCTCCTGTTAGTCTACTTACTTTTACTTTCTTGATATCTTTTAATTTTCCCAAATGATGGGTTCACTGTTCTCATTAACTTGTCAGCCTCCTCTCTAATTAAGCTATTGAGCACCCATCTCCCAGTGAAGTCTACTCCAAGGAGAATAGTTTATTACCTTAGTAGAGTGCTGGGTCAGTATTGTCAAAGGGGAAAAAGCATTTACCTCAGTTTTGTGATTAGCACTGTCATCCTTCATTACTGGGTCTTCTCAATGACTTAATACAGATAAAGAGTTCATCAATTTTCCTTTAAAAGTGACCTGCAAAATGGTTTTTTTTAATTGGGGCTTGTGCCTTTTTTGTAAGATACAGTATACCACAATCACTTTGTATATGTCTTTGAACCTAATGTTGAGAAGCTTTACTCCTTTTTCCCCCTTTGTCTTATTGCCAATAAGTTCTGCTCTTCACTGGGCCAATGTATTTCAAATATTATGACCAACTTTGATTTTATGAAGTATAATTCAGAACTGAAAGTTATAGTTAAAACCTAACTTTATTTTGGTTGTGATGGGACAATGTTTTAAGTATTATAGACTTTCATGTTTTCGTTGTAGGTTCAGATCTATGAACTGGAGGAACACAAGATAGAAACTTGGAGGGGTGAGAACACTTCTATTAAAATCCATTGATGCCCGTTAAGGAATTTTAGGATTATCTCTGAAAATTGTGCTTTGGTTACTCAGATAGTTTATCTCAAAAGACTTTTAAAATTAGTCTGTTTGCTCACGCTGATTATTTTTGCACTTGATACAATAATCCTAACTATATTGATGATGATAGTAATAATAAGCTATAGTTTTTGGACTTTCACAGAAATCATATTTTTTTTAAAAAAACTAAGCATCTTTTAAGATGAGTATCTTTAACTTGTTTGGATGACTTGGTTTATATATTTTACTTTCTCTCAGTAACAGCTTCACAATCAACATTACAGTACCCTGCTTTGAAAACTCTTAATGTTCACTTGACTGTCATGTCTTGAACTATAACCAAACGTGGGAGAGCTTGAGAAGGACTTTGTTTGCCTTAAGGAACAGTTGCTAAATATGAAGTCTCCAGCTGCCTACAATTTTTAAAATCTCTCCTACTGTTTCACACTTTGTGGAATGTAGCCATTGGTGGGTTGGTTGGTTACTTTTTCCAGATGTGTGTTAACAAATTATAGTAGCAATTTCAAATATATTTTATAGTCATGGGCTTAGTTACCTTTTAAACATGAGAACTTAGAAAGAATTATAAGCTAACATTTAATTATGTGGTATAAAAATGATTGTCATACAACAGTTTATCATCAATTCATATGGAATTAAGCGCAGAATTGAAAATCAGAAGTTGATTACCTTGATAATTTGTACCTTAGTCTTCTAAAAATCACCAGCTAAAATTTTTAGTGTTTGTTTTACATAAATCCTTTGATCCAAGTAAACTAAAATTATCCAATTCTGAGAAGTCTTCCACCAGATGTACCCGATGAGTATGAATTTAAAGATGTTAAGAGGCGGGTAATTTGCTAATCATGTAGTTGATAGCTAATCATGCTGATAGAGACAGGGGGCAGGCTGCATTGCAGAGACAATGCTGGGGGAAACCAGCTTGTAAGCCGACTCCCCCCAGCACTGGCTCCTGCTCCCCCCACAAGCTGCCTCTGATAAAGAGGCAGCAACGGGAGGGGTGGAATGCGAGTAGTCGACTCAACTAACCCAAAAGCTTAGGCTTATCGGTTAGTCAACTACTCACTTACATCCCTATTGTGAATGTTATGACCAGCTCTAGAATTCCTTTGAAACATTCTTCCGCTGCTATTATTATTACTAGTCCTCTCCAATGATTGATTGTGTAGGGTATAGCACCACTCTTCTAAAGAGCAGGCATATAGAGATCTTCATGTTAAGAACCTTTCAAAAAGAAAAAGCATAAATCACCTCAGCCTTCCTGGTACGAAGCTGGATTTGGGATCCTCTGTCACCCAAAAAGACTTTGTACACTGGTACCAGATAAGGGGCACACTCAATCAAGACATTCTCCAATATGCATTTCATGGCACAGACTTTGGGATGCTCAGTACTGACATCAAGGCTTTTATTAAGTACAGTGATTTCTTAACTTTCAAAATTGTTGCTCATGGTTCCAACAGTCTTGAAACAGATTCACTGTCCCAGGAGGGGGAATCTACTTTTGTCTGTCCCTCCCTGAGTCGTAGTTCTTACCTTTGGCTAAGGACATTTCCTTATCGGTAGGCACCACTGACATTTCCTCAGTACTGAGTAGGTTTTCTGTATCATAAACATTTTCATAGATCACTCCCTGGGATGCCTAGTTAGTGTAGGAGAAATCCCATAGACCGTTATATATCCTGTGCACCTAAATGCAAGACTCTGTGCCACTCAATAAAGAACTGTTAGAACCTGCACATAGCTTATGGTAGACTGCTGCATCTGTTCCATTGATAATATTTGTAAAAGTTAGAAGGTACCAGGGCTAGCCTCAGGATTTCAGTATTTTTACTCTCTTCACACACCTAGATCCCTTATAGTAACTATTGCCAAAGAAAGCCCAAAACAGCAAAGCTCTGAAGCAACACATAAGGAAAAACAGTCCAAGCTGTATCTCTTCAGAAGGACGAGCTATATCATTTTCAGTCTTCATTTTAGGATAGCCAATTACTGTGCACTCCTTAACAATATAAGGACATCAGGTGATATATTGTACTTTTACTGACAGATAATCACAGGAGTTCTAAGGAAAAATTAAGATGATTAATTTCAGAAAGTTAACCAAGTTAACATCTTCAGCTGCATCTTTCAGAAGTGTTGTTGTTACAGAAGTATGTATAGCAGCTATTTGGGGATCAACTGATACATTTATGAAATACTGTTCACTGGTAAAGGCATCTAAATGAGGTTCATTTTTTTACAGAGGAGTTTTGCAATCTTTGTTGAGGTAGACTCCCAATTGCTCTCCTTTAGTACTTCAGGTTATTGCTTATAAGTACCAACCAGTGGAATGTGTACAAGCACTCAAAGGAAGAACAGTTATGTTCTGTGCTGTAATTACAGTTTTTCTAGATGTGTTGTCAATATATATTCAACAATCTGTTCCCCATTCCACTACTACAAAATGAAATTATGATAATGACACTTACTATATAATTCTTTTTCATCAGTAGGTCTCATGCTCTTCACAATCAGTAATGGATTCTGTATTGATAAGAACTGAAGGTTGATTAGCCTCAGTGTGCTCTTTAGTCAATGACCCAACTCACCAAAAGAGTCCAGTTTCTATTTCATAGGACATGTGTGCACCACGAGTGGAAATAATATATAGATAGCACATCTAAACCATAGTTATTGTAAGCCTTCTTTCAGTGGATACATTTTCTCTTCATCATGTTTTGTATTGCTATAGTGACACCTACTGGTGATATTCTTTGCATTACTTTTACTCTTATTTAAAGAATTCCTAGGGATCCCTTTACTGACGGTCCCTTTAACTTCAGGGTAGAGGGCTCACTGTCAAAAGTATCCTTGCAAATTTATAACTTTTAAAAAATGTCTAGCTGTTGGTCTGACAGTGAGCACTTGTAACTTCTCATCCATTTTTATTTTTAATGGGGAATTGAGTTATACACATTATAGTAATTGTCTACTTCCTGGTTTCTAAAACATTGACTTTTAAAAATATTTGCTTTTTAATACAGAGCTTTATTTACAAGAAACATTTAAGCCTTTAGTGAACATCTCCCCAGATGCAAGGTAAGTAGAATGCTACTTGCTTTTACCTTGTACTGATCATGAAAGAGGATTTGAGTTGGTGAACTAGAGTAAGATAACAAAGAATGGAAAGACTCTTTTCATTTTTTACTTAAGGGACTCACTGAAAAATCTCTCAAAAAATCAGCATTGAGTCCTATAGGATATCTTGTAGTATGGGAACAATTGCTCCTGGGCTAGGTTAGGGAGCTGGGTTCTGGCTCCATGCTTCAGGAAGGGATGGGGGTTCAGGTGGAAAGGGCAGAGGCAGGGCTGCCAGCACTCCACGGGGCCCCTCCCCATCAGCCTCAGAGCTGCACAGAGCACATGGCGTTCCTGCAGTGATTTATAGGGCCCAGAGCTTCAGCTGCTGCTGCAGTGGTAGCAGTCAGGAGCCCCAGACCCTTTTGAATTTCTGGGCCCCAGAGCAACTACCACCATTGGCACTTCTTGCCTCACCCCCATTGGCAGGCCTGGATGGGGCCAGTGAAATGACTGCATTTTAATTTTTTATAACT